GGTACCGCCCCGTACGTGGTCCCGCTGACCGCGCCTGCGGGCGCACCGGCGCCCTCCTGGGGAGAAGGCGGCATGGCCGCTCTCCCCGCTGTGGTGCGGGCAGCCTGGTCGCCCTCAGCGCCCATTGCTGCCGACACAGCAGTGCTGAAGAGGGGGGCATAGGGAGCCTGGAGAATATTTTGGGGAGGGCGCCGGTGAGGTTTGTGAGGCGGGGGTGCTGATGGCAGGAGCTGGAAGCCAGGAGGGCGATGCTGGGTACCGCGGCGTGCCAGATGCCGGAGCGCAGCCGAGTGGGGTTAGCTGGCTGTGGGGCACTGATGGACATGGTCTCCCCGCCAGTGGGACTGGTCAGGTTTTATTTTTCCAAGCTTAGGCAATGGCAGTGTTTCGTGCACAATGACCCAGGCCATAGCTTAGTCCTTCCTCGTCATGTTTGTTGTCCTTCTAGTCTAGGGAACACAAGGGCCCAGGGAGATATGGTGGATCCGTGTGTGTGTTTCTTTAATCCCTTCTTGCTGAAGATTTCAAGGGATGGAGCAATAATCGTGTGAGACTAATCCTACAGAAACTGGAAAAAAAAAATCCCTGCTATAAATTCTCTTTTAACTTGTGCTCAAAATTTGATACTTCAGGCACTAAACACATCTACCAGCCCACAGCGTACAATTCTCAGACGCCAGGGTTTATATACGCTGCTGCCGCACAAGTGTGGCACTGGTATCCAGTCACTCCTCCCTCGGGTGTTGATCTGTTTGTCCTCCCAAAGCCAGTTCTGTGAACTCCTACAGGGGATCTTTCATATGCTATGAGCTTTGCTTCCTCATCAGCCCAATAATTCTGTGTCTTGTCCTTTACTAGGTAGCTTAATCTGTTTTTGAAGATCTAAGTGGCATTTCATGTTGGTCATCTGCAGAGAGGAGAAAGGACACTTTGTAGAAGAAAATCTGTAAGACAGTAAAACAGATATACAAATACTATATTTTGCCCTTAGTAATTCTCCCTCTAAATTCAGGAAATAAGTGCTTCATGGTACGAGATTCTACTTAAAAAAAAAAAAAAAAACCACAACATGCAGATATGTGGATAATACACAGTGAAAACAGCGCTGAAGAGCATGGTCAGCCTCGAAACCAAAATCGTTGTGCAAGTTTTGTCTATAGGAATCAGAACTGATCTTCTGTGTACGTGGATGGAAATAAGTGTTTGCAAGATCAACACCTTAAGTGGGTGCTACAGGAGGTGACAGCAGAGTAGGAAAGTCAGATTTAGAAAAGGGAAAAAATGTTGCCCAGTTTCACACTTGTAGCAGCTATGACAGAATTCTCAGATAAGGGAGGTACTTAAGTCTTACTTTTAATAGGCTGATTATAAAATATATAGGGGAGGTTAAATTAAATGCAAGCTTTAATTTCATGGGTTAGGGAATTGCACAGTGAAATAATTCATTGAGAAAAGAAAACACTAGAGAGTATTCTTCAGGAATTTTACTTTGGGAACGTAGTATGCTTCAGCCATCGGAAAGAACTTTCCACTGAATTTTAAAAATCCTTAAAGAATTGCATAGTTTGAAAAAGAGACTATTTTAATTTTGTATGGCTTTGTTAATATATACCTTTATTATTATTGTAGCACAGCCAGTTCTAAAGTCATTTCTTCACAGTTTATTCCAACATTTTGATAAAGAGTGCGAAGAGCTTTCTTGGAAGATGCATCGTGAAATACAGAAAATGAGGGAAATTGCCCTTGTTTACCTTGACAGAAGTGGTGGCCTTCAGAAATTCGTGCACGATTGCAAAAAATATAATGGTACTACTCACTCAATAGACAGTCTGTTAAATTGATACGTAAAAAAAAAAGTAAGAGATTTGTGTAATATTTAAGATACTTTTTGCTCCTACAGACTCAAAACAAAGTTACGCTGTTTATCGTTTCATTATTTCAATAAATCCTTCTGACATTGCTGAATTAGATGCAACTCTTGGAAATTACATTCTTCATAATCCCATACAAGCTGCACAGATTTTTCAGTCAGTAAGTATGTATTTATAGACAAGAGTAGACAAAAGTACATCTTCTGTATTTTAACTAGGTTTTCCTTTCTAAAATGAAGTTATTTTTCAATATCACAGGTATGTTTCATAGCTATTAAGACATTATCATTAATTGAACAACTGCAGACAGAGGCCCAGGTGAGTCTGCATTGTTTTCCTCCATTTAGATCTTAAATCTTTTAACTATGGTGAAGTATTAACAAATATAATTTTTGAATTAACTTTTCAGTTTTCATTTTCCCTTTGGTTGTAGTAGTATTTGTAATTAAAAATAGCTGGAAGTCTCACCCAACCATATTGCAAAAATTTTGAGATAATTAATATGAAACCTAATTACTCTTACACTTTATGTGTTTCTGAAATTTTTTTCTAATAGCTATGTATTATCTAAGTAAAGCAGTTTTAAATAAAAAAATATTTTTACGGTATTAATGTAATTGTGTCTCTTGTTAGATTAGTATACTGCTGAAACCAACACATTTGCCACCTTTACCAAGTTATGTTCTGAGTCTTTCTGCGTTTCCCTTTAATTACACATCTCAAAGATTTTATATGTCTGAAGGAATAGTGATTGCAATGGGAACTGTAACAAAATATACACAAGGAGCAAGATTTCTTTGTACTGAGGAAACCTGTCCATTTTCTGAAGGTAGTAAAAAAAAAAAAATCAGTACTGTTTCAAAAGCTATTTAATAATTTTCATAACTTAACAGAGATTAAAAACCTAGCATGAAAAAGGCATTTCTCTATGCAGTCTTATTATGCAAACATTTTTGTAATGAGCACAGCATGATTTTTACTAATTGAAAGCAGTGGACCTTGCAGGGGTTGCTCAGCATTATTAAATGTTTTGGAAGCATAGCTATGCCAGCAATCCCATTTTCCTCATGTTGAAGATAGTTTATATGAGAAAAGATATGTCGCCAATATAATTTAATAAATTATCTGAAAGAAAAAACGCTAAACTAGTAGAATACTTTTTTTTTTCCCTTGGAAGCTGTGTTTATAAAAAAAAAAATGCCCCAGAAAAATATGCTTAAGTGACGGGCAAAAGATTCTAGCATAGAACAAGTTTGCTTTAATGAGTATCTGACTTCTGTGGAACTACTTCTTTGAGTAATATCACCTTGCTTGTACTGTTGCAGGATTAGGGCTGAAGTACTTCTAAGGCTGTTTTGTTTGCTTCTTCCTGTAACAGAGACCATAAAATCAGAAGAGAGAAGCAAATCCCAAAGTTAGGAGACTGCAGAATACATCATAATGACGTCTTTATGAGGGCACGCACCTCTAATAATGAATATCCATATCCCGTGTCATTTCCACGCAAAGCAGAAGTGGCAGTCGCTTGCTCCCTGCGGCTCAGTGGCCAAGCTGTTCTACTTGGGAATGGGCAATGGGAAATTCTGACATCTTGTGGACAACCTGTAATAGATTATACAGATCATTTTAGTGGAAGCATAGTATATGAACGTATGCCCATCTGAAGAAACACGTGACAAATCTGGAATTTCACTGTCCAATATACTAATCACTTCTATTCTTAATGGGAAATTTGAAATGAAAGCCATGTCCTCGTTTTAAATTTTTGGTAATTTTTTTTTTTTTTAGGCTTTAGGTACATAAGGGTGCATCTGCCTGGAGCCACCGAATCTGCCACAGTGAGGAATGATTTTGTGTGTAGTTTGTGTGCTTCGCCACTGCGGGAGGACATGAAATTTAGAGTACTTGGTGGTAGGATTTATGTAGTTTTATTTTTAGTTCTATTACTTTCCTACTTCTGTTACACAATAAGTAAACAAAATGGTTAAGTGCAAAAAGCCCCCAAATGCACCAGCCATTTAGAGAAAGAAAAAAAAAAAGCTGTATTGTTTTCAAGAGAACTAACCTTTTCTTTGCCTTTATTTTGAAAGATAAACAAATAGTTGAAATGATTGATGCAAAAGTTCTTAATGCTTTGAAAGGATATTCCAGTGATAAATCACATTTTAGGATTCAGACATTTACAGTTTTCTTGAGAGGTAAGCTGAATTTTGGAGTTTTGTCAAAAATGTTTTAGAATTGAACTGTAATAATCCCTTGCATTTTCCTTATAGGTCCATTTCTCTGGATAAAATGGTGAAAGTCCTAATTTATATTGCAGTTCTTTCATAAAATTAGGGGGGTAAAATACATAAAATTAGCTAGGTGATTAAACAGTATACACAGGTGATTTAAGAGTGCACACGACAAAACTGTTGCATTCATTTTTATACCTTCATTTAAATAAAATCCCCTGGCCAGCTCTGCAGTATTGCATTCTTACTGTAGCTTGTTTTTTCTTCCTTTCTACTTCCTTTGGTCACACTGTTTTGTAACTTCATGCATTTTTAACATCCTTCCTCAATCTAGCTGTTTTCTGCATTCCATCAGGATTTTTGGCTTCTACTACTACTACCTTCCGCTGCAAACATTAAATGATTTCTAATGTGAATATCCAACTAAGATCACAACTCACCAACATAATTCCATTAATTCTCTTAAAAAAAAAAAAAAAAAAAAAGTGCCATTCAAAGTCTACGGAATTATATGGTTAATTTCTTGAAAACTAAATAGCTCCAGGATCATGAGAAACACTTAAAAACTGACGCTATGCATGTATGGTTATAAAACAGAATCTATGGGTGAGATACTGCCAGTCATGCATGCATTAATTTCCACTGGCTTCAGTGATCAATGAGGTTAGGCAGGGTCTCAACAGCTGAGATTCGTGTTTGATTGGACCTAACTCTCATTTCCAAAAAATAAATGTGATTTTTTTTTTTAAATGCACAGAAATACAAATGTTCCCAAAGCTATTTGAAACCCGTTTAGTTTGGATCGCCTTTTTATTGTGTGTTTTTTTTTTTTTTTTCCTCCAACATTTTATAGGACAGTAAGTGATAATGGCCTAACCACAAGTTTCAGAGTGGGAATGCATACTTGCAAACAACTGTCCATTTTCTTCTCAGTGCAGAACTAAATGGATCATCCATTTTCTTTATCAGGAATCTCCTTTTCCTCACCCAGTGTGCCTTCCTTACCTCTATGCATCCAACTGTTGTTTTCTGCAATTAAATCATAAAATCAAACTGTTCAGAATGTGAAGAAAAGTTTTCTGACCATGTCTTTAGACCTGTTTTTATGCCCTAAACCACATCTGCAGGTTCTCCTCCCCCCTGCCCCCCCCCCTTTTTTTTTTAATTTCTAGACGAACTGGCCAATAAAATGAAAATGGGAAACCACTACAAGATTATAGGAATTCCAGCTTGTGTACAAAATGGCTTACAAAGTACAGCATGTATAGAAGTCAATAGTGTACAGCTCTGTAAATCAAATGGTAAGAAAGTTCCATTAAAAATTGACTACAAAAGTTGGAAAAACATTCTAGAACAAAATCTTGAGAATTGGTACAGTCTTCTGTTATCTAGAGGTCCGGATTACAAAACCACTCTGGGACTTTCCTCTTACAGTCTGAAATGTGTGCTTACGGTTATTTGAGAATATCTTCTTTTGCCCAGTTTCCATGCGTTGGGAAACTACGTAATTATTTACTGCAGTTCTTCAACTTCTCTTTCCAACTTCTCCTATCCATTGGAAGGTACTTTGAAATCATACATTAAGATATTTTAGTTTGTTAGTAGTTTGTTATTAGTTTGTTATTCCTTTCTTAGTCCGCCAGTTTTAGCAGATCATGTCTGCTACCTTTTTCGTAGTAAAATTAATAGTGTCAGATGTTTAAATTCTGAATTTGAGTAAACATACTTGTTCTTTGTAAGTTTTGTATCAAGACTGGAACGGTGATTTGTTCTAATATATCTGCATAGCGCTCTTATGAAGTGTTTGTTAACCTGTACTTTGTTTTCATTAGGTCCTTCTTTTGTCAGTGACAATTTTAAGTATCTGCTCTCCCTGACTTCAAGTTCGTGCTGGAGGTTTACTGCCATCCTTGCCAGTAACTTTGCTTCTCAAGTTGTTCCACCAGGCACTTACAATACTCTTAAACTCGCAATATTGCTGAGTCTAGTACAGACATGTGAAAAAGAAAACGCAGATTATCTGGATCTGTTGATTGTGACAAGTGACACGCTAGTAATTGATAGGTAAAGAGATCCCTTATTTTTAACCTAAATTAGAATTAAAAACATGAGTATTTTTAAAGATAATAGGATCGGTCTTCCATGAAAGGCTAAAGAGACTATATTTTAAAAGAATATACAGGGCTCCAACTCAGTAAAAATACCCCATTTTTATCCCTGGGACATTTTTCTTTATTTCAAGTGATAAATCTAGATCAGAACTTCACGAGTAATAAAACCACTTAACAGTCTCATAATGATCTCAACGAGATTTTAACACTAGCACTGTTTAGCAGAGCTCAAATAATACATTCTTCTAAAATGAAAACTGAAGCCGGTCCCAGAAGCTGGTAATGATGAAAGCAAAGGGCTCCGCTTTCAAATCTTGTGTCACTTTAAGCCTTTTCATCACCGCTTCCCAGGTATCAGCATTTTCAGTTCATAAGCAGTGTGTAAATAGATACTTTCATTTTTATCACTCTTTTTGATAAAAACTATACTGATAAGGTATCAAAACTCACGTACGTCTTTACACGTAGGTCATAAATCCAGCTGTTGTTGCCTTTAACAAAATGTTTTCCTGTATTTATGCATTTTATGTATTTACCCCTTCGCACAACTGTAAACTGTTCACATAATTTCACATACACTGCAGAAAAGTACAATATGCTCACCTTTAAATTTATATTAATTTAAACAAAATTACTTTCTCCTTCCCCAACTCAAAACAGGGCTTCGTTTTTATTTTTGACAAAGACCTTTGAAAGTGGCATGAATTTTATTTTCATTTGAGAGTTTAACAAATTCATTAGTATTTTTTGTTGTGGAACAAAAAAAACTTTCTTAACCATTTTAAAATTTAGCTGTAGAAATGAGTTCAAATTTGAATAAAAAGTGGGTTGCAGGCTTTCTTTCTCAGGTTAAGAGTAAGATGTCATAAGAGAAATCATAGGAGCTCAGAGTGTTTTGAGAATTAAAACATCTGGTTAATATTAAAACAGTTGCACACTGTGAATCTTGATCAGTACTGTCATTTGTACTGTTTTGTATGTGCACATAGTATTTTATTGTCGGTAGCCTGTCAAAATAGGCATTTCCTACATCATATTTATATTGGTATGATAGCCTATTTATGAATACTTATTAATTTTAATTATTAATTTTCTCCAAGTTAGTAATAATAATAGGATAAATCGTGCTCTGACACCTTAAAATCATTAGGAGCCTTGGATTGTGGAACCAGACAGACAATTTGCAACCTCTTTGTGCCAAGGAACGGAGTGCAGGGGATGAAAAAGAAATTCTATACCTGCTTTCTCAAAAAGAATTGGGGTGGGGGGCAGTAACCCAGGCAGGCAGAGCTTGTGTGTTCCCAGCTTTTTCATTTTTCCCAGATGGCCAGGATTCCTAATCCTCTACCCTTTTAAATCACTGGAAAAGTTTCTCTAGAATAGGAACAGGAGTTAACAACGTGGGGTTAAATTATGAGACTTCTTTTTGACTCCCTAGGAATTACTTCTATTGCAAACCATGATTTGTCTCATATGTTATATCCATAAGAAATTTTTGTCCTGTTGGCAGCTGTTGGTGAGAAAGCCTGGACGTCTACCTTTGTATTCAAAGTTACTTTAAACATTTAATTTTGACGCTGTTTTTATGTTAAGGGTGGTGGTTGTTGTTGTTTCTAAGTGAGTCTTAATATATATAAATACCATTATAAAGTATTAAGTGTAGTATTAAGTTGTTCAAGTTTTTTAAAACTGAACAATAACAATTTGTGACTAACAGAAATATTTAATCCTCTAGGCTTCTGAATTACAGCATATGTCTTCTGCCTCGTGGCATACGACACCCACCTTCTAGTGAAATTTTTCCTTCTGTGTCCAAAGATAAACACGGAACTGGAAGTGCTAGTATTCACGCCTGCAGTGCTGCGCTGGCTAAGGGTGGTATCTGTTACATAGGAGACTTATCTTCATATAAAAAGGACAAACTTGAACTTCTACAGTCCGGTAATCTCACACCTACTAACGAATGAGGGGACACAACAAAACAAACATGCAGATTTGTGGCGAGCTTCGTTCCCCAGCTTATGGCCCTCAAATGCTGGGAAAATCGATAAGCTATTTGTCACCAGTCTGTGTCCAAAACAAGGACAAAAAAGCCAAGGTCCTATTAGCTTACATTTGCTACAGAGATCCACTGATTGTGACGATTCAGTGAAATACATAATCGTGACTGGTTTCAGACAGTGCCTGTGGGACTAGAATTTATAGTTAAACTACATCAAAAACGTAACTGATGTATTTTGTCCTGTCCTAGTGCTGGAGAGCAGAACGACAACAGTGTTCATTCCTGGGAAGAAGTATGGAGAAGAGGCTGACCAACAAGTTACTATTTCAGTTCAGACCAGTTTTTGGTCTTTTGTAGATGTGGATGCTTCCACAAAGAAACATACGCAAAAGGATAACTTTTTAATTGGGCAGATGGTAAAGCACATGCCTTGTTATGACAGTAACTGTACTACAGCAGTTAGTTGTGTTTACGGTTATTTCAACTTATAATGAAAACAATCAAATTTGTTAGTATTTCCAAAAAGTCACAACTTCAGTGACTTTAAATCAAGTATCTTCTAAAATGAGCTAGCTTTCCGAGAAGCAGCTATCATTTATATTATTCAGAATAGCTTTTGACAACTACTATTGAAACAAAATTTTACTGCATATATTGTAGGTAATTCATTAGATAATCTTGCAGGACTCAGTATATATGGATATTGAACGTTTCAGACTGAAAAAACTGTGAGGTTTCTACAAGTCAAAAGGCCAAAATAAAGTAATTGTGTTCTTTCTCTGGGTCTTCTCTTTAGGATGTGAGTTTGATTCCACCTAACCTCCTAGATGTTTTTGGGCTTTTGATATACAGTGAGTTTCCTTCCTGTCGACTATCTTCTCCTCTTGTGCATCATATCTTGAAAAAAGCCATTAATCCTGAGGCCGTGCTGTACAAAGTCTCACAGCAGTTCAGAACGCAGGATTATGAGGAGGTAACAGATACTATCCAGTAACTTAGAAATGCATTATACTTGGGAATATCATACTGTTTCTGGAATCGCAATGTTCTCTCCGCGCATTGTGACTGCTTATTTTTAAACCTGTTAATACTCACTTCTTACTCTTTCAATTCCCCCCCACCATATTCCCACTAGAACTAATAATTGATACACACACTGATAAAATTAGCTTCAGTTCTTTAAAAGGGGGCCAGCACAATAAATTCAGTTCAGTCCTGCTTCTGAAAAAAATACTAGGTTAACATTCATATGAGATCTCCGATACCTCATTTTGACCAGAATAGCTTACAATCAGCAGTAAAAGTTAATATTCTATTCTAAATAAACTGAGATCTATCCTTACGCATAGCTGAATGGTGACAGTTGTCTTTATAAAAACTATTGGTAGAATATATTGTCCAAACTATGTTACTATGCCACTGCTGTGAAAAATGTAAATTCTTTGTTTTCCAGTTAAATATTTAAAATGTATACCCTCTCTCTAGTTTATTTTGTTTGCTAAGAATCTTCATGTTGAACTGAGTTCAGAAGCAGAAAATCTCATTCAGGGCTACTATCTTGCAAGTCGCAGAGTGAGAAGAGATTCTATTAATGGATCAACATTATCAGCATCTGCACTAAAAATTCTGTACGTCCTGCTCTTCCTAGTAAAGGAAACACATCTATGTTTCAAATAGAAATTGTGCTAGCCTGCTCAAGAGCTTGTTAAATAAAAATCTAGACAAGACTTTTAAGTTTTGAAAAGTTCAAGTGTAAAGAATCTTATTTACCATTTATGAATGCTGCTTATCTTATATATTGAAGTTGCAAAAAAAAAAAAGTTTAAAGAGTTTTAAAGTTTGAAAAGTTTTGTTTTTGGTTCCCCCCCCCCGCCCTCCCCCCCCCCCCCCGGCAAAAAAACAGTGATTTAAGAGACAATTATCACTATTAAAGCTACCTAGAAAAACAAAAATGGGATTTAAATTATCACAGCTTGGTACTATGCAAGCAAAAAATGTATTAACAGTAGATAATATTCTGAGTTCCACTGCCTTCATAGCACAAGAAAGTAATGCAGAGTAATATGTACTTTCTCAGTGACAAGTATAACTGCACTATTTGTGGGAAGTTTACACAGCTGAAGTATGGGGGGAAAAAAACCCGCTCCAGTGTTAACTTTTTATTTACTGCAGTGCTTGAAACAGGGCAATACATACTGCATTCATGTCTGCAATATCTTTTATTTCTGACATGCTTATATTCGTCTCTTAGGATTTCACTGGCTAAGGCTCATACTAAACTAAGTTTAAGAAAGAAAGCGCTCGAGGAAGATGCGTTGATTGCCATCTTGTTACTTGAATCCTCTCTTACCCTAAAACATGGTAAATAATGTAACGGTCTTTAGTCTTGGGTACATCTTTTTCATATTTTGGCAGTTTGAAAAAAGTTCATATCGATTGACTGCAATAGTAGTTAGTTCCTCTCAAATCAAAGTCCAGAATTTCCACTGCCTTTCAGTTCCCTGCAAAGCGTCTCAGTGCTGTACGTCATTAGGCCGCAGGCCAGCACCAAGCCTCCACCCTTTATGCTGGCTTATGAGAGGCGCAGCTCCGCTAACATCGATCCAGGTTCAACTAAAGACAGATTCCCTCCCTGGGGAGGGAGAAGACAAGGGTTGAGGGTTTTTTTTTTTGTTTTTGTTTATCTAGCATCACAGGCACATTTGTTCACACAAATTTGGCAGAGGCAAGAATTATGATGCAATGCTTAAAAATGGAAACATACAAGATTGCATTACTGAGTCATCTGTCACAGCTTTTTTGCCCTCAAAGCCCTGGCAAGAGTTTATCAAGTCTTGTAGCACAAGTCTTAATTTCTTCTTTGTTTAGGCAAGTCTGCATTATGCATAGCACCAAATCCTGTATTTCCATTTGACCTCAGTGATGAAAACTCCCTGCAAGAGCGAGATAGTTACCTAATGCAGTGTCACCATCAACTGCTGAAGTTTATTGGTGCATATGGCCCGGGAACTCATATTAAGACTAACGAAGAGTGAAAACTCCACTCTGTAAGTAAAGCCTGAAGCTTCCACTTTAGCCTTTTGAGAGACTGCAGTTAGAAATATACTTAGAAATAAACTTAATAACTAATTAACTTTAGTTTAGTTATTAACTAATGTTAATAACTTAGAAATACAGTTTTTAATATTTTGGTAAGACTGTTCAGTGCTGTTTTGCTAAGGAATAAAGCATAGCTGACAAGATTCAATTACAAGTTTTGTGACAGTGTTGTTTGAAGGCAGGAGTGACATCTTTGTCCTAGGAGGCCATGGCATCAGTGTTGTTTGAAGGCAGGAGTGACATCTTTGTCCTAGGAGGCCGTGGCGTCAGAATAAAGTCACAACCGGAACTTCTCTTCCTGGCTACCACTGTTCATCCACGCTTAGTGACAGGAGTAAAGCAGGGTTTTTAATAAGACTACAACTAACAATTAAACCAGGGGTTTAGAATCTAATGTTTCATTTCAACTACATGAACTCTCTCCGCAGTTTTTCTTGTTGCTTCTTTTCAAATGTATCACCCAATGAGCATTAAATTGTTTTAAATACATTAAAACTCTTTTTCTAGTGTAAGTCAACTTTTTAACATTATTAGTCATGTTCTGAAAGGTATAAAAGTATCGCCATACTGCTTGACGTTCTATGTCTTTGTTTTACATCACAGCAACATAGTATTAGACCAGGATGCTGGTGTGCTCTTGCAATCTGAAAAAACCCACAGTATTTCCACGTTACAGACCGCAGGGGATAGCAGAACCCGACAGGAGAGTGAAAAAAAATGTTATTGGACGACCTGGTAGGTGGGCAGCTCAGCAAGTTCAACTCTACCTCACTGCAAAAACAAGTGTAAAGAGTGGTGTAGTAGAAGATGAGCTGTCTGACCTACAGTACGTTTCTCCAACTGTGGACTTTTCTGTATTTTATCTTCCTAGTAAGGATATAGCAGTAGACATAATACTGAGCAAGTTTTACATCCAAGAAGTCCATGTTAAAAAAAAAAAAAATGCAGCAGAAAAATTGTAGGCTTCCTGTCAAATCTGGACAAGCTGAACGGCTTGGTGTGGCTCCTACCCAGGCTGTCATCCAGCCGGATCGTGGTGCTACTGCTCACGTAGCCTCAACAAAAAACTACAGGCACTGAAAACAGAAATCCAACGGTTTTTTTTTTCATACACACACTGCCTTGGAGATAAGCAGAAAAGCTGCCTCCACGAACACTGTAAACACTCTCATGTAGAAAAGATAACACAAGTTTTCCTACATGTTTTAGCTCTTGCTTTATTCCATTTTATTCAATTTGTTTGGCACACTTAAATATTCATACCAAGTTCTAAGAGTGTCCACAAGGCCACCTCCCTTTCTTGAGTGACACGCTCACCTGAACTCCATTCAAGGATTATTCACACATTTTCACTAAACAGCTACTCCTCTGCCATACTATTGAACCAAGCAGTATTTCTGAGGAGCAGGAAGGGCCGTGAAAGCATTTGCGAGGGCATCAGAACTCCACGTTTCAGGTTGCTGTTTTCAAGCTAAAAAAAAAAACCACAACAAAAACCAACTCAAAATAAGTTAATCAGTTTTCTGTATGCTTAATCAATCTTATACAAAGTTAGTAACTTTACTGGCATTTCAGATTCCAAGATACACATCAAAAAACAGTCAGATGGGTAAACGGCAAAGATTTCATCACTATGCCAGCAAAATTACTTCTAGAATAGACTTAAATAGAATTCCTTCATAAACCACGATTTTTGAAAAGCTGTATTAAGGAACATACATCCTTAGGAAAAAAAAAATCTGCAAAAAGAGCACAACTTTTTATCCGTACCTCTCCCCAGCTTCTCCCGTGACGTGTTAAGCAAAAATTAGAAGACCAGTAGCAGTCCCACAAGTAAAGAACAGCATAGTCAGTCAGTAGCCCAAAAGCGCCCTCGACTAACAGGCCGCACCTTCGGCTGACGTAAGCCGGCATGGCTCCAGACAGCAGCAAACATGGCCAGTACAGGCCTTCAGCGGCTAGCAGCGTAGCTTACTGGAGCCCGAGTACTGTAGCATCGCAGTAAAAAAGCAACTTACCTTCTTAAACACCTCTACTTCTAGAATTGGATGGAGTCTGCTGTTGGCTGTATGTGCGTACACGAGCCTCAAAGACAGTGGAGAAAGAAGGTCATCTGATGTCATAGCGCCTTTAAAAAGAATAAGCGAAATCAGAAACGATGGTAGCAGATCAAACGGGAAAAATCCTACTCGTTAGCTGGCACATCAGATACAACATTGCTCATCACAAAACTCAGCTGGGTAAACGGCAAAGTCGTCATCACTAGGCCAGCAAGCAGTCTCCTGCCTGTGCTAAGGCTGGTGTAAGGCATCAAACGCAAGGGGGTCTGTTAAGTTCGTCGCAAGAGATGCACTTCTATACATCAAAGTAGAACCTTGTTTTTAACTGTTAAGCACAGAATGGCTTCAGTAGAGCCAGGAACAAGAGAAAAAAGCTCCCTCTGGGCACAAAACCACAGGCCCCTCCCTGTTGTTAGATTCAAGCTCCAGATGCCAAGTATCTTTCTAGAGGGAAAGTCCACTGCCATAGTCACCTTTCCCTTTGGAATATATTCCATCAGGCTGATACGGTTAAGTGCCAGCAGGGATGGTGATTTGAACACGCTGTTCTTCACTTTAGCCTCTGACTTCCAACTAGCATCTGCTAATCCTTCAAAGCAGAAGTCTCGTTTCTCTCCCCAGTTAAAAGCTAAATGTTCTGATACTATTACAAACCTTTCCCCTCCGATTCCTTCGGGATTCTTGGCTTGCACCTGATTTGTTCTGGGGAGCATGTCTTAGGTTATATAGCTATCATAATACCTTTTGTTTTGAATTTCAACCGCTTAACCCTACATGCAAACAATCATATTCCTCCTTGTTCCATCTGTAAGAGCATTTACAAGCCATAAAACAGCTTCAGAAATCTAGTTTTCAGGAGGCTTTCCTCAACATTTTTAAGTACAGTAAGAAGGAATTACTTCGGTAGCTCCAGAATTCAGGTGACATCTTCCTGGTTGCAAGGTAACAGCGTAGCAGAGTCCAGACTGGAGATTCCCAAAGCCGGTAACAAGCTCATCTCTCCACCTGCTGCCTACAACAATGAAAAGAGATAAAAGATATCCGATTCAGAGAACTCCGCTGCTGAGCCAGCAGCAGAAAGCATCAACATTTCCTTGGGGGAAGTAAGCCAGTCAAAGAAATACCAACCCCCTGGGCAGCCTAATTGCTGGCTTTATCACTACCTGGGGAGAAAAGTACAGGCAGGATCAGCCGAGATCAAGGTTACACAGAGGCGTGATCATTTTATTACCTAAAGCGCACGCCAGTACGAAGAATGACTGATTGCAGGGCCGTTGTGCTGCTCCTAACGAACAGCCGTGGCAGGGGAGAGGAGTACCCCAGCAGGGCACAGCCTGTAACCCCAGTTCACATGCTGCGCTCGGGGGAGCCTACTGACGCGTTTTCCTTTTGGTTAAGGTCAGCTCTGGCGCTGCGGCCCCGGCAGGAGAGCGTTACCGCAGAGACTGCCGAGAGCCCCGGGTCCTGCCCCTGCCAGAGCCCCCCGCTCGGGTCTGCCTGCGATCCAAAGAGGGCATCGTCGGGGTCGCCGTACACCACTGGCCAAATTCCCCAAAGAGAAAAAAGGTAATTTATCTTTAGAATTAGGACATGCATTTGCCAATGAAAATGATTTATCAGCAAAACCAAGCCTCTTTTTGGATGTCCAATCTGTCATTCCTTTGACGACTTGAAGAACCAAGAGATGGCTCGCAGGAGCCACCACGGCTCGCCAGCGGAGCAGCACATGCTAATGAGGTCCATCCTAGCCTCACGGGACGTACGCGGGTCCCTGGAAAGCCCGCGTGGCTACTGAGCGTCGGCTTCAGCTAGCCCGCTCCAGCAGCCAGGCTGGACCACTGCCACTACGCTGGGCAACCAAAACCAAGGTACAGTTACCACAGCGTGACCATCGCTCATCTTTCACGTGATGGCTTACGCCGTTTAGAAAACGGTGCCAGCAATACGCCCCTTCAATTCTTGAGGTTATACTCGTTGTTTTGAGCCCTCAGAACGGGATTTCTCACATTAAACAGGAGGGGATATTTCTGATTCCTCTGAAAAAAAACGAGAACTCACTCTACTGTTCAGACGAGCGTGTGCTTGGACTGAGGAGCTGAGGAGCTGATTCAAGGAAGCAGCGGCACCAAGTCGTAGGCCGGGTGGCTCGGCCGCTCCCGACGCCCCCGGCAAGGCG